CCAACCTCGATCATTGGGTTTAATTTGATGGCACCAATACCAACCGTTATTGACTATTTAATTTATGGACATGATGATAATGAATGTTTCTCTTTATATTTTTCAATCAGTAGAATTTTCTGCAAGATTATGAATAAAACATAATTTGTTATGGGTTCGTGTTTGTTACATCTGAACATTTCCTTTCCTATCTTTTAAAGATCATTATCTAAAAATTAAATCCCGCGCAGGACGCGGGTAATACTAGTATATTCATAATCACTACCAAAAAGAGCAACTTCGAAAAAATAGAAAGTTTCAAAAAAATATATATATATTGGGATTAGTTTCTTGCCAACTTTCATTGCGTTTGAGACGTATAGCTTTAGTTAGTGCTCACATTAACTATTTATTCATCTAATAAGTACGTACTAAACTTTTATCAAAAAAAGGTACCTCACTGCATTTTTTTTGTCAACATTCCTCTCTGCATTTATTTGTTGATTTGTAACAAAAACCACGTATCATCTTTCTTCTTTTATTTTGGTTTTGATTTATATTCTCTTCTTCTCTCTTTTCATATTATGTGATTTTAAATTTAGTTTTCGTTTTTAAGTGATATTTTACGTTTCCAATAAAATACCTTAACTTTGTAATTTTTTTTATTAAAACTATACACTTTTACTAAAATGATAGAAGTATATGTACCGTACGAATATAATTCTAGAAGTTGCTTTCTTCTCTAGTTAAGAGAATTACAAATAATTCTGGGCACGGCCCTGTATGTACATTTTTTCTTTTTTCCAAGAATGTGTTTTTTCCGTTTTACAAATTTTTTTTTAAAGACTTTCGCATATGCATGAAATAAGAATATAATGTTTCCTTAACTATCGTTTATCGTTTTCAAGTAAAATTCTAGAAGTTGTTTTCTTCTCTAGTTAAGAAACTCCATTTAAAAGGAGAAAATTCTTTTTAAATTTTAGTATTGTTAATATAAATCAGCAATTTTGTGATACAAAACAAATACCATCAAACAACACTTATTATAACCTATAGATCTTAATATTTCAATTTATTTTATCTCTCATATTTTACATACTATTTTAGATCTTGAACTCTTCATAGATATTTGTGCAATGGGATTGATTTTCAAGCTCAACGTTTGAGTTTACATATTTCCAAATATTTAGGAGTACACCAATGATTTTTTCCACTTATGTTTTATTTGTTGTAATCTAGTAAACATAAACACACACAAAATATACATAATAGTTATATTTATAAGAATATAGCATTTTAAAATTATAAACCCTAACTCTTCGTTTTGATTTATTATTACAATACAATAAACACCTACAAATTAGAGCCAACGTAAAGCAATTAGTCTCTATTATTAGTACAGTTCAGTAATTTAACAAGAC